TTAGAAAACAGATCGTTGGATATACCAACAATGAAATGAAACAAAAAGTGATATAATCCGAGGTTTTAAAGGAATGCGAGGACGAACTCTGATATCCACTGAGGGTTAGTTACAAAATATCGCTCTACGAGGCGAAATTTATAAATACATGGAAAAGTTGGAGAAAATATAATCCGGCATTAGAGATGCCCTGTTGTGAACAGTAAGCCTTTTTTTTTTTGCAAGTGAAGCTGTCAAGACGCTGACAAAAAAAATCCTGATCCTAAAAAATCCTTTCGAAGGAAATAGGAACAAAATATGAATATCAACATCATGTTATACACGATGTGGAATACAAACACAAACATAAGCACGTGGTATTAACACACTATTTTTTAGCATTTGGTGGTATTTATGTAATTTTACCATGTGTTACAGATCAGGTTTGTGGCAACAGCACAACCTGTGTGAACTGCGTCAAAGCCCTGAAGCTTTCAGGGAATGTCATTAACGGCTGCGTAGGGTCCAGTAAGTATCTCTCACACCTTACGATCTTCCTCACCTTAACTGACATTTAAGTTGCTCCATCTTCTACACCTTGATTGACACAGTTGACTAAATCTACCTCACCTTACGTGACACAAAAATGACTCTGTCTTAAGTGACACTTAAGTATCACTACAATAATGCTACAATTTTAACAATTTAAAACAATAATAGTATTACTAAGAATTTTAACTGTTTAATCCACTAACATACAACCTCTGGTAATTTACGCAAGTAGACATAATGGAAACATTTACTAACATATGTAATATTTCCAGACTGTACCAACGCAGCGACTGCGAGCACCTGCATCACCGCAGCTAAGGTACGTCATGTGGCAACACTTTACAAATATTTAACACCTGACCACCTCAACCTTTGCTGTCTCCCACCGTCTAAACTTTTAACACAACACAAACGTGATAGAAAGTCCTGGAGCCCACGCGTCCTGAACGTGGTTTTCTCTCGTTCTCAACTCTGGTAAAGCCACACAAGTGACTTTACCTCCAGTGAATCGCTTTCTCTGTCCAGGATCACAGTTCATATAATACCACTCCTGATATATTATTTAGTTTTTGTACTTTGCAAATTCTTGATTGTTCATAATACTCCTATTGTGAACAGTATTCAAATTAACGCATTAATATCAACAAGAATAGGAGAGAGAGAAAGTCGTCACGTAGAGCTGTGGAGTAGAGGAAAGCTCAATTACACCATCTTTTGGTTAGAAAATACCGGTTAAGTGTTTGCAATGAAATTGTGACTTGACAGTCAATGGACAGTTAAGGAACAGTTTCAAGAAATGCTTTGGAATTAGACCTTTCCAAAAAGTCAAATTCATGTAATTGTATATGCTAATAAATGGTTAGCAAAATCTAATATAATTATGTTATATATATTGTGAATTAACATACTATATCTCAACAGAGCAACACATGTTTCACCACTACTGGCTGAGTTGAATGCCTCAACTATGTCCATCATGTTCAGTTGACGAACCGGATCACTATCACTGATGACGACTGACTTCGACACCATCTGTCGGCAACCATATTGGCTCACTATCTGTTGACATGCAGCCTGATTCATCATCTGTTGGCATGCAGCCTGACTCATCATCTGTTGGCATGCAAGCTGGTCTACTACCTATTGGCGAGCAGCCTGAACCAACGTCTCGTTCAGCAAAACCCACCATCTGCCAAGAAAACTCCTGTCCACCACCTGCTGGCGTGTAACTAACTCTCCACGTTATCAAACACATAAATGACATAAAACAGGTGAAATAGATGGTAAAAGATAGACCAAATGTTAATAAATAAAATAAAATAAAATAAAATCTCCTAGCAGCACAACCTTCAAAAGCAGAACAAAATTCTTTCTTCAATTGGCAGTCATTTAACGTATCATTTCCGCTCCAGCCCAGCGGCCGGAAGATATCTTCCTGTATATAAATTTTTATATCCTGTATAAAATTCAGAAAGCTGTATATAAATTTTATATACAGCTTTCAAATAAATATGTATGTAGTAGACACTGTTTTTATACAGCCTGATGTATTGACATTATTGATGTAAGCTGACTCATCCTACATTAATATAGAACTTATGGGTTGTCTACATTGCCCAAGTCCTACATTGTCTCGTGTTATAAACGGGAACTTCATCGTTCAATATTATTAAAGTCCTCTAACAACAATATTTTAAAACCTCATAGATTTGAAAATTTTAAACGTTGGAAATCGCGAAACTTTTAAACGTGAGCTGACTAGATAATAGTCGAGTCGGCAAGAAGGAGGTTGCTAGATATACAAATGTTAGATCAAGAGGACAGACTCATGGAACTTCTCTTCATGCAAAGTGTTAATAGGACAAATGAAGGAGACTTGATTACATCATAGAAAATTCCTACAGACAGGTAGCAACGGAACGTAAGGTCGCTTGTTTGATATTATGTGTGTAAAGCCACATGTATAATGTGACATGCGGGAGGTCAGATATTTAAGGTCCCATGCGTGAGGTCACATGTGAAAGGTCACGGTTTGGACATGAATGGTATTTCATGGAAGGTCACAGGCACTAACACCATCCAAAGTTGTCTGGGGTAGATATGTTATCTACCCAGTGTGTGTACTCACCTAGTTGTGTTTGCGGGGGTTGAGTTCTGGCTCTTTGGTCCCGCCTCTCAACCGTCTATCAACAGGTGTACAGATTCCTGAGCCTATTGGGCTCTATCATATCTACACTTGAAACTGTGTATGTAAGCCTCCACCACATCACCTCCTAATGCATTCCATTTGTCTACCACTCTGACACTAAAAAAGTGCTTTCTAATATATCTGTGGCGCATTTGGGCACTCAGTTTCCACCTGTGTCCCCTAGTGCGTGTGCCCCTTGTGTTAAATAGCCTGTCTTTATCTACCCTATCAATTCCCTTGAGAATCTTGAATGTGGTGATCATGTCCCCCCTAACTCTTCTGTCTTCCAGCGAAGTGAGGTTTAATTCCCGTAGTCTCTCCTCGTAGCTCATACCTCTCAGCTCGGGTACTAGTCTGGTGGCAAACCTTTGAACCTATTCCAGTTTAGTCTTATCCTTGACTAGATATGGACTCCATGCTGGGGCTGCATACTCCAGGATTGGCCTGACATATGTGGTATACAAAGTTCTGAATGATTCTTTACACAAGTTTCTGAATGCCGTTCGTATGTTGGCCAGCCTGGCATATGCCGCTGATGTTATCCTCTTGATATGGGCTGCAGGAGACAGGTCTGGCGTGATATCAAGTCCCAAGTCTTTTTCTTTCTCTGACTCCTGAAGAATTTCCTCTCCCAGATGATACCTTGCATTTGGCCTCCTGCTCCCTACACCTATCTTCATTACATTACATTTGGCTGGGTTAAACTCTAATAACCATTTGTTCGACCATTCCTTCAGTTTGTCTAGGTCTTCTTGAAGCCTCAAACAGTCCTCTTCTGTCTTAATCCTTCTCATAATTTTGGCATCGGCCGCAAACATTGAGAGAAATGAATCTCTACCCTTCGGGAGATCATTTACATATATCAGAAACAAGATAGGACCGAGTACAGAGCCCTGTGGGACTCCACTGGTGACTTCACGCAAATCGGAGGTCTCACCCCTCACCGTAACTCTCTGCTTCCTATTGCTTAGGTACTCCCTTATCCACTGGAGCACCTTACCAGCTACACCTGCCTGTCTCTCCAGCTTATGTACCAGCCTCTTATGCGGTACTGTGTCAAAGGCTTTCCGACAATCCAAGAAAATGCAGTCCGCCCAGCCCTCTCTTTCTTGCTTAATCTGTGTCACCTAGGCGTAGAATTCTATTAAGCAAGTCAGGCAAGATTTACCCTCCCTGAACCCATATTGGCGATTTGTCACGAAGTTCCTTCTCTCCAGATGTGCTACCAGGTTTTTTCTCACGATCTTCTCCACCACCTTGCATGGTATACAAGTCAACGACACTGGCCTGTAGTTCAGTACTTCTTGCCTGTCGCCCTTTTTGTATATTGGGACCACATTTGCCGTCTTCCATATTTCTGGTAGGTCTCCCGTCTCCAGTGACCTACTATACACTTTGGAGACTGGCAAGCAAAGTGCCTCTGCACACTCTTTCAGTACCCATGGCGAGATCCCGTCTGGACCAAGAGCCTTTCTAACATCCAGATCCAGCAGGTGTCTCTTGACCTCCTCTCTCGTAATTTCGCACTCTTCCAAGGCCGAAAGGCCGAATGGTTTACTTCCCTTTCTCCTAGCACAGTGACCTCACCTTGTTCTGTTGTGAAGACCTCTTGGAACCTCTTGTTGAGTTCATCACACACCTCTTTGTCATTCTCTGTATACCTGTCCTCGCCTGTTCTAAGTTTCACTACCTGTTCTTTCACTGTTGTTTTCCTTCTGATGTGACTGTGGAGTAGCTTTGGTTCGGTCTTGGCTTTGTTTGCTATATCATTTTCATAACTTTTCTCTGCTTCTCTTCTCACCCTGACATACTCATTCCTGGTTCTCTGGTATCTCTCTCTGCTTTGTGTGTGTGTGTGTGTGTGTGTGTGTGTGTGTGTGTGTGTGTGTGTGTGTGTGTGTGTGTGTGTGTGTGTGCTCTCAATGTCACGTACACGATCATGTATGTCCTTGATACGAAAATCCTACCAAACGTACAAAAAACACAATATTCAGGGTTTTGCAATAATAATGATGACACTGATTCTCAATCGCCACAAAACTCCACAACACATATTATACAATATCTCGATAATGAACCAATACTATTACAACTCACAACAGTACCCACTAAAAGAGAGACCGACATATTCATAGCTTTCAGAAACTGACAAAGCAGGTCGTATAAAATAGTGTGGAAATATGCTTAAATGCGAGATATAGAAATTGTCAAACTGGTTAAAAGTGGACCAATCGCCCAGATGATTATAAGGTGAAAGAGGAAGGAGGTGATTGGGGGGGGGGGGATGGAAGGAATGACAGGAATATATAAGCCCTCGTTTCTGATCTGTCAGTCACAAGGTGTGAACACACGGACAAAGCCACACTCCTGACCTACTGGTGAGTGCAGCACTGAGCTGGGGGCTTAGTAGAGGTAGCGAATGTGTAGGAAAACGGTGTTGTATTCTGTGACTTGAGTGAATGTGTAGGACAGAGCATATATTGTGAGCTTCAAGTGTCGCTGAAGAAGCATATCTCATTGTTGAAAAATTTTGATTTCCTTACGAATCAAAGATTATAACATACTGTAATACCTACCTGCGCCTTATACACAAATTTTCAACCAGTGCATTTCTAATGAGTTGCTTAAATGTAAAATAGATTAAAAATCGTAACTTTGAATGTTTACTGCAGCCTTGTCCTGGCTCTCTCTCACAGAGTATTTGCACTTCCATTGCCCGTTCTGGGTTAGGGTATTGTATACATATGTCATTATACATGTAGATTTTGCAAAGCTTGTGGTATTCTACCTCACGAAAGAGTTGTTAAGAAGAGAGAGACGCATAATTTTGGATAGGATGTCTTAAATTTAATTAGGAAATGGTTTCCTTAAAAGATACAGAGTTAAGGTAAATGGAGTCAAGTTCAAGTTAAAAAATGTGGGAACATGTCAGAACCTTCAACAATGAAATCATGTTTAATCTATTTAATTTTAATTACAGGATCAATTAATAATTTAGAATGGATTAATAATTTATTATTAATCCATTCAATTTATTAACTTAAGTCCCTTAATTTAATAAAAACTGATTCATCCTTCAATTTTATTGACGTTCTTATATTTTGTGATCAAGGTATTCATCAGTTTCTTATTACAATGTAGGTAGGTAGACATAGAATTTAAAGCATATTAAATAAGAAGCTCTGTATATACATTAGAAATGTCAGAGGAACTGTTAGGCAAAGATTTCTCATGAAATTCCTGACAACTGTTACAGGTGTGTGTTTACAGTTCCCTTGTAAAGATTGTAGTCAATTATATTTAGGGTAAACAACTAAACACTTTGGCCAGACAACTAAATGTCATAACTGAAGCATGTCAGGAGTCCAGTCCAGGGAGACCAGTCCCAGGAGACCAATCCCATGAGACCAGTCCTAGGAGACCAGTCCCAGGAGACCAGTCCCATGAGACCAGTCCCATGAGACCAGTCCCATGAGACCAGTCCCATGAGACCAGTCCCAGGAAGGAAGTCTTCATATCTCCCACAGAGTCGTGAACCCGTCGTCCATCAACCACCACAATGAAGGTGTTAATGGTTATCTTCCTGACGGCTGTAGTGATGCTGGCATTTGCCCAACACTACAGTGCTGAACATGGAGGTCACAGTGGTGAACATGGAGGTCCCAGTGGTGCACGCGAAGAAAGCGCGTGCCTTTGTATGTATAAATTGTGATGATGTTATTTGTACTAACAGTTGCTGCATTAGTCGTAACAGCAGCAATAATCGTAAAGACAGTGTTAATTATTGTTGTGTTAGCTGTACTAACGAGCAGCTGAAGTAGTAGTAACAGCAGCAGCATTGGTAGTGGAAATGTTAATGATTGATGTAAATATGTTAATAATAATGTTATTAATAATGGTAATGATGTAATAATGTTAGCTGTACTAAAAAGAACAGCATTAGTAGCGGTTGTGAAGTTACCTGTACCAACAGTAGTGATAACAGCAGCAGCACCGGTTGTGTAAGTGTTAAGTGCTGTGACGTTTGCTGCACTAACGGAAAATGTAGTCTCGTTATCAACAGCAACGGTAGGGAAAGTAGGTCTTAATAGCAAAATTAGGCAATATTTAGAAAATGTAATTATGGTTGAGAGGGAGAGTTTCGAAACTCCTTAATGGTAGACGAAGACCTAAAGCCACACTTGGCACGTTTTTAGAACCTATGATATTCGCCGTTGAGCTTCATTACAAATTACATTCAGGATTCCTAATGTTAATAACGAGACCTGTGTATTCAGTCAGAGAAGAGAGCAAGAATTTGGATCTATATAAATAAGATCATGAGGATGTCAGAAAACTGATCGTTGGATATATCAACAATGAAATGAAATATAAAAAGATATAATCCGAGGTTTTAAAGGAATGCGAGGACGAACTCTGATATCCACTAAGGGTTAGTTACTGTTACGGCCCTCTGGGGTCGCAACTGGGTTCTTTCTCTGATGTTGTTAGAGTTAGGGTATCCGGCCCCAAGTTAGTAGTGGCTTTCAAGGGGTGTGTTCCGTAACGCAAGTAAATTAAATGGGAAGGGATACGATTACACAAAATTAAATATATAATTATCACCACCACCAATAAATAAATATATGAACTGTCACACAGGGGGTATAAACACTAATATACAGAATGGTCTTCCTCTGAAGACGCAGGAATGTTCCACGGTGCTCGAGAGGAGTAGCCCTGGTCCTCTTCTTGTGGCCTCACGTTGAATCCTTCGATTCTCTCGAGTCTACCCTGGCAACAGGCCAGCCAAATCACAGTTCCACTGGGTGCACCGTCGTGGAGGCTTTCAACCACAAATCCAGCCTGTAGCTGGCAGGTTCCAATCAGCTAAGCTGCGTAGGCCACTCCACGACCGATACTAGGGTTGCGAGCCCTAGGCAGGAGCCTCGTGTGATTACACAAATCGCTCTCCTCAACACAACACCCCAGTGGCTAGTCTTCTCCACCAGTCAGCCCCGGGTACAACAATTCCTCAACTGCCACGTCACAGGCAGGCTAACAGAACAGTGTTCATCCGGGGGGGGGGGGGTGACTCACAGCTTCTGCAGCAAACACGTGGAGGTCCTACGGCTGCCTTGGTTAGACTGATCCAACGTCCACTACAGCAGTCCCAGGTCGACTCTGTAATCAGACACGTCATCAGTACTGGTTAAACTCTAGGGCACCTCACTTACAGGCTTAGACGCAAACGCCCATCTATCCACTCCATAGATGGCGTTGCTGTCTAAGCGTCACCTCACCAGAGGTCAGCAGCGGCGATGTTATGAGCTGATCAGGACGGGAAACCAGCCCCTGTGGCCGGTATATCCTGTCCTCACTAGATGGCGTCGTCCATTTGGAGGGGGTTTCAGGAGCTGACCCACAGATGGCGCGGTCGTCACTGCTCCGTGCTCGGAAGCTGGACTCGGGTCCGTAACAGTTACAAAATATCGATCTACGAGGCGAAACTTGTATATCCATGGAAAATTTGGAGAAAATATAATCCGGCATTAGGGCAGCCCTGTTGTGAATAGTAAGCCTTATTGTTGCAAATGTAGTTGTCAGGAGGCGGGAAAAATAATTATGAAGGAAACAGGAGCAATATATGATTATCAACAGCATGATACACAATGAGAAATACAAACACAAACAGAAGCACGTGGAATTAACACACTGTTAAGCATTTGGTGATATTTATGTTATTTTACCATGGGTTACAGATAAGGTTTGTGGCAACAGCACAACCTGTGTGAAATGCGTCAGAGCCCTGAGACTGACACATAGAGTCATGAAGAGCTGCCTAGGCTCCGGTAAGTATATTTCACACTTTACCATCTTCCTCACCTTGACTGACACACAGGTGCCATCTACTTCACCTTACGTGACACAAAACTGGTCTGTCTTAAGTGACACTTAAGTGACACTATAATAATGCTAATTATTAATATAATTTCAAAAATTAAAAGCAATAATAGGATTACTAAGAATTTGAACTGTTTAATCCACTATCATACAACCTCTGTTTATTTACCTAAGCAGACATAAGGCAAACTGTTACTAACACATGAAATATTTCCAGACTGCACCAACGTAGCGACTGTGAGCACCTGCATCACCACAGCTAAGGTACGTCATGTGGCAACACTTTACAAATATTTAACACCTGACCACCTCAACCTTTGCTGTCTCCCACCGTCTAAACTTTTAACACGACACAAACGTGAGAGAAAGTCGTGGAGCCCACGCGTCCTGAACGTGGTTTTCTCTCGTTCTCAACTCTGGTAAAGCCACTGAAGTGACTTTACCTCCTGTGAATTGCTTTCTCTGGCCAGGATCACAGTTCGTATAATATTGCTATTGATATATTATTACGATTTTGAACTTGTACATTCTTGATCGTTCATAATGCTCCACTTGTGAACATTATTCTAATTAACGCATTAGAAAGAATAGGAGAGAGAGAAAGTCGTCACGTAGAGCTGTAGTGTTGAGGAAAGCTCTATTACACCATCTTTTGGTCAGAAAGTACCACTTAGGTGTTTGTAATGAAACTGTAATTTGACAGTCGATGATCAGTTAAGGAACATTTTTCAAGAAACTTTTTGGAATTTGACCTTTCTAAAAAGACAAATTCACGTATTTGTATATGGCTAATAAATGGTGAGCAAAAACTAACTTATTTAATTATGTTATATATATTGTGAATTAACATACTATATCTCAACAGAACAACACATGTTTCACCACTACTGGCTGAGTTGAATGCCTCAACTACGTCCAGTCTGTCCTGCTGACGAACCGGATCACTATCACTGATGACGACTGACTTCGACATTGTCTTTTGGCAACCATATTGGCTCTCTATTTGTTGGCAACCATATTGGCTCACCATCTGTTGGGATGCAGCCTGGTTTATAATCTGTTGGCATGCAAGCTGCAAGTTGGTTCAGGCTGTTGGTATGCAGCCTGAACCAACGTCTCATGCAACAAAACCCACCATCAGCCAACAAAACTCCTATCCACTACTTGCTGGCGTGTAACTCTCTCTCACCACGTTATCAAACACATAAATGGCACAAAACAGATGAAAGATATAGTTAAAGATAGAAGGAATGTCAACAAATAAAATAAATACAAATATCCCCCTAGCAGCACAAGCGTTCAAAAGCAGCACGCAATTCTTTCCTCAATTGGCAGTCATTTAATGTATCATCTCCGCTCCAGCCCATCGGCAGGAAGATATCTTTATCTATACTCTATTAATGTTTTGTCATTACTTTGTCATTTACAGCTTTATTTGTCATTTACAACTTTGTCATTTACAGCTTTAAAATAAATTTGCTTGTAGTAGAAACGTTTTTTTATAATTCCTGGTGTATTGACAATATTGCTGACAGCTGACTCATCCTACATTAAAGCCCAAGTCCGACATTCTCGTGCCAGCAAAGGTAAGAACAGCAAAAATGATGTACCTCTTATATATTAGATCACAGATCAATTACGTTGCACCTTTCCTTGCTCTAGTGCCTAGCGAGACTATTGCTGGAAGGGCTGGAAAAGATGCTAAATAAAGTCATGAGGATCATCCTCGCGTTCACTCTTGCAACTTAAATTACTAAACATGTGGAAGAAACTGAATATCCCATGTGTAAGTGATCGGATCATTGAAATCAATGCCTTAATTGGTATTAAGATTATTAATATTTGATATTTATAAATTGGTATAAAAACGGTGCTATTAAGCTAACCTGTCCCAGCCCCTGCATTGACGCCCTCGATGCCTTCTTTATTGATGGCCAGAATCCTTCCAAATGGATTACAAAAACTTCAAATATACTCAGAATGAGTAATGTTTATGAGCTCTTCGAAGAGAGACAGCAATGTACTTTCCTACACCTTGAAAAATCACCCTTTCCAAATTTCTGTCTCGCCCCCCCCCCCCTCTTCCCATCCAAGAAGCTGATTACAGAACCCTTGCTTTGACAGAAAACAAAGTACAATGTTTTATACCAAATTGATAGTTTGGTCAAAGAGAGCTCCCGCTTCCATATTATTCACACTGATGGTTTCTTACACTAGTTCCATGGCGCAGCTGGAGTGCAGTTGTTGTGACAGCGGGAGATGGCTCCCTCTCCTATGAGTGGGGAGTTCGAATAAATAACTGGGCCTCAAGTTTTCAAACATAATTGATTGTCATAATCCATGCTCTCAAACGAGTATATGTACCCAATGTCGACACATTAGTTGTAAGTGACTCCCTGTCATCCTTGATTGCACTCATCTAACCAAGGCATAACTGTGACGTGCTCCAGTCTGAAGCTAGGCACAGATATAATGACGTTATCAGTGAGGGAAACAAAGATTGTTTCCTGTAGATTCCTTCTCATATTGGTCTCTGAATGCATGATAGAACTGATGAGTTAGGCAAAACATTTGCTCGTAACGAGGGAATTGTTACCATCTTAGATTGTCTTTGATTTGGCAGAAAGCTACCTGTTGACTACATGTTAAGGATTTCGAGGATCAACGTCCCCGAGGCCCGGTATCCGACCAGGCCTGCTGGTTGTTGGTCTGAGCTGCCTGGCTGTTCGACGCGGCTGCCTGGCGAACGAGTCACAGCCTGCTTGATCAGGTAGAACTCGACAAGGTGCTTGTCGAGTTCTCGTTTGAACACTGCGAGAGGCAGGCCATATATGCCCCCGTATGTGTAGAGGAAAAGTGTTGAAAACTCTTGGGCCTTCGATGTTGAGTTCTCAGTTCTCGACTTCGAGTTCTCAGGGTGCCTATTGCACCTCTGCTTTTCAGTGGGGGGGGGGCTATTTTGCACATCCTGCCATGCCTCTTGGTCCTATGTGCTGCTATTTCTTGCGGTCCCAATAATTTTGACGTTTCATTGAGTGAATTGTAGCTGAAAAGGAGCTTTGCACGTTCTCCAGGTCAGCAATGTCTCTGGCTTTGAATGGGGCTGATAGTGTGCAACAATATTCCACTGTAGTGAGCATTAGTGTATAAAAAAGTATCATCATTGGCATGGAATCTCTTATTTGGAAGGATCTGCTTATCCAACCCGTCATTTTTAATGCAGTTCTGATAGCAATTTTGTTATGTTTTAAAAAGTAAGATCTTCCGACATCTTGAGGTTATCTTGAGATGACTCGGCGTCCCCGCGACCCGCAGTGCAGTCATTGAAACCTATCCTCATTAAACATCATATTATTTTCTGTGGCCCATTGAAAGACTTTATCACCATCAGACTGGAGGTTTGCTGTGTTCCGGGAACAGCAACAAAATCTAGTTGAGTTAAGACCAAGTTTAATTCACTCCAGTTTTCCATCTATCATCATTCTATTATGCCATGGATATCCGCACACATATATGAATCATCCTATAAGGTCAGAAGACTTGGAGACGTTACCACAGCTAAGCTTAGACAAGTACCTCTTAGACAACACCTGCTAGTGTTGACATGACTCTCAGTAAACTCTGTCAGCAGAACTATTCATATAATTTTGCACCACTAAGTACTCGAACGTGAAAGGAAAATCAGAATTCAGAGATAACTCTCTCAATAGTGACCAAGAAATGTGAAAGTACCCCCTATTCAAAACGATGAAATTACTAGATATATATTGTAAACAAGACGAAGGTGATAAATGAGAAACTGTCAACCTAACGAGTCGTGGATGGCTCCTCCAGATGATTACAAGGTGACAAGAAGGGGAAGATGATGGAGAGTAACAGGAAGGAGGAAATGGGGGGTGACAGGAATAGGGGGATGGGGGGATATTGAGTAATACATATATAAAACCACGCTTAATGTTCTGTCAGTCACAAGGTGTGGAGCAGCCGACGAAGCTACACTACAGGTGAGTGTCACGCTAAACTTGGGACCTTAGTGAAGGCAGCGTGTGTGTGTGTACTCACTTAGTTGTCCTTACGGGGGTTGAGCTTCGGCTCTTTGGTCCCGAATGTTCCAAAATGTATGTGTATGTGTGCGTGTGTGAGAAAACATGTGTGTTGTAGTCAGACTTGAATGAATGTGTTTTCCCTTCATCGGAATGAATATTGCAGAACTGAGGCGAAGTCCCTCGTTACAAGCACAGCTGAAGAAGTTTATCCCACTGTTTAACCATTCACATGACTGTGTGAGTTAAACATGTCTACAATATTGCCATACATACTGGCAATATAAATGATTTTCTAGCAGTGCACATTTCATGAGTTGCTTGCATCGCACATTACAGTAGAAGTTATATACCTGTCTCGAGTCCATCTAAAATAATACATTTATTTCAGCCTTTTTGCCTTTCGTGTTCTCTGGCTTAGTAGCTGCTCTACCATAGAAAGCCGTACATGGTGACGGTATTGGCACTATGTTGCCCTTAAGACTGGTTAGGAAGGTATAGAGGGGATACGTTTAACACGTAACAGGATAATGAAAAAAGACAGAATAAACCAACCCAAGACCGAATTGGAGGCTGTTTTAAGTGAGGTGTCACAGGGCCTCTCCTGGGACCTCTCTTGTTTATTTATATAATATATTTACACGTGAATGAACAATAGAGTTAGGAAATTTCTTGTTGATACTAAAATATGGAGCAATAAATAAATAACAAATAAATTACCGAAATTAATAAAAAATTTATAGAGGTATGAATGCAGATATTTTCGAGTTATAAAATAGTCAACATGTATGAAATGAATAATATTTAAATTGCCAAATCATAACGCAAAGATCAGCAAGTCATGGTTAGTAGGAATTAGAAACTAACAAACTTAGGAATTAATGATTGAAATAAAGCATATAAGATACGAGAAACAGTTTTATATACAAGAAATTTATTATTATTTAATCCATTGTAATATCTTAAATCACTTAAATGAAACAACAAAGCATTACAATATGAGCTTATCTTAGGCTGAGTTAATGTTTTTATATCCAGCGGTCGAGGTGTTGACCATCTTGTCTTATTAGAGAATTTGTATACACTCTTACTGCAGTTATCAGAGGAATATATATATATATATATATATATATATATATATATATATATATATATATATATATATATATATATATATATATATATATATATATATATATATGTCGTACCTAGTAGCCAGAACGCACTTCTCAGCCTACTATGCAAGGCCCAATTTGCCTAATAAGCCAAGTTTTCATGAATTAATTGTTTTTCGACTACCTAACCTACCTAACCTAACCTAGCCTAACTTTTTCGGCTACCTATCCTAACCTAACCTATAAAGATAGGTTAGGTTAGGTTAGGTAGGGTTGGTTAGGTTCGGTTATATATCTACGTTAATTTTAACTCCAATAAAAAAAAATTGACCTCATACATAATGAAATTGGTAGTTTTATCATTTCATAAGAAAAAAATTAGAGAAAATATATTAATTCAGGAAAACTTGGCTTATTAGGCAAATCGGGCCTTGCATAGTAGGCCAAAAAGTGCGTTCTGGCTACTAGGTACGACATATATATATATATATATATATATATATATATATATATATATATATATATATATATATATATATATATATATATATATATATATAAAGCTTAAAACATGTTGTGGTATACCAACATAATTATACGTTGCGGTATACCAACACGCAGAGCATAGTACTAATTTGGCGATAATGTTGATATTTGTCGATGTTACAGAGGAGGTCTGTGGCACGGTGAGTGCCTGTGACCAGTGTGTCGGTGACCTGAAGCTGCCAGAGTCTGTCAAGAAGGGCTGCTTAAGTGACGGTAAGTACCTTACTCGCCTTGACTGACGCACAGGTGACTCCAGCTGCCTCACCTTGACTGACACACAGGTGGCTCCAGCTGCCTCACCTTGACTGACACACAGGTGGCTCCATCTGCCTCACCTTGACTGACACACAGATGGCTCCAGCTGCCTCGCCTTGACTGACACACAGGTGGCTCCAGCTGCCTCACCTTGACTGACACACAGGTGGCTCCAGCTGCCTCACCTTGACTGACACACAGGTGGCTCCAGCTGCCTCACCTTGACTGACACACAGGTGGCTCCATCTGCCTCGCCTTGACTGACACACAGGTGGCTCCAGCTGCCTCACCTTGACTGACACACAGGTGGCTCCAGCTGCCTCACCTTGACTGACACACAGGTGGCTCCAGCTGCCTCACCTTGACTGACACACAAGTGGCTCCAGCTGCAACGCCTTGACTGACACACAGGTGGCTCCATCTGCCTCATCTTGACTGACACACAGGTGGCTCCAGCTGCCTCACCTTGACTGACACACAGGTGGCTCCAGCTGCCTCACCTTGACTGACACACAGGTGGCTCCAGCTG